GATGTGGACAATATGGAGAGGGTCCAGAGGAGGGCCACTAGCATGATCAGGGGACTGCAGGGCAGGCCCTACGAGGAGAGGCTACGGGACCTGAACCCATTCAGCCTGCACAAGAGAAGGCTGAGGGGGGATCTAGTGGCCTGTTACAAACTAGTCAGGGGGGACCAGCAGGCACTGGGGGAGTCCCTGTTCCCCCAAGCGCCACCAGGAGTGACAAGAAATAACCGTCACAAGCTGGCGGAGGGTAGATTCAGGCTAGACGTCAGGAGGCGCTACTTCACGGTGAGGGCGGCTGGGTCTGGAACCAACTTCCAAGCGAAGTGCTGCTGGCTCCTACCCTGGGGGTCTTTAAGACAAGGCTCGACAATCACCTTGCTGGGGTCATTTGACCCCAGGACTCTTTTCTGCCATGGCAGGGGGTTGGACTTGTTGATCTGCTCAGGTCCCTTCTGACCCGACCAACTATGAAACTATGAGACCCCAAATGGCAACGCGCTGACAAATTACTCGCTGTATTTGCAGAATGGGCATGCTGACTATATATTTTCACAGATGCATGTGTACTTTTGCAAGTACAACCTTACCTACCCTCAATAGGTTGGGCCAGAGAACTATAAGCAAAGTTTCTCTGGGATAGACTAGGTACTTTTGTTGCCTGTCTTCACTGATAATACTGTATGTGTGGCAGCAACTCAGATGTATTACGTGCTTTCCAGAAAATGAACGAGCTTGGTTAAAGCATGTCGCTAATTGATCTTGACCTCACTGCTGAGAGGGTGACACTTTCCAGTTTGCAAAGAGAAACCGAGGCACTGTCTGTAACGTGCCTGAGGCCACAGAGATCATTTTTGGAGCAAGGATTGGAACCACTAGACGATGACTAACGTGGAAATTGAATCCTTTCATCCCTAACATTTCAGGGCGGAGGGAGTGTCTATTGTTTATAAATGTTGCCCAGTAGTGTTTTTCCCCCTGTATTTTGCCACAAGATCTGTTTTCCCCCCCATCATTGTCCAGTGTAATAGGCCCTGAAATGCCATAAAGCTTCCATGCAGAAATAGGAAAACAAGCACATTTTTCATGAGCCTTTCTGAACTAATCCATTTAAAAAAGACTTGTTAATTGGGAGCTGTCATTTTGCTGTTGCCCAAGCAAACTGACACCTAGCTATGAGACATTGCAGAGTTGTGGATGTGGATACTGTTTCTCTAAGGGAAACAAAATCTGTTTTGGCTACAATGTTCCCCTACCAGATTCCTTACAATAGAGCTGATCTCTTTTAGGGACAGTATGATAAAGCACCTGATCACTGCGGGAACACTTGGCATGTGAGGAGCGCTTGCTTTGGAACAAGCATCTGGTACTTAACGTGATCTCTGGCATTAATTTGTGGTATTGCTAGACTCCCATGCTGGTCCCTGGCTGATCCCAAACCTTGAACTGCTGTAACAGCATACAATCGCCACTTGCCAGCTGCTACTCATTATGGATCAGTACATACAATATCACTGCCATAAAAGCCAGCACTTCACTGTCATGAAGAGGGCCCCTTCCCCATTTGCTTTATCAATAACCTAAAGCAGCAGTTCCCACACTTGTTGGGTTTTTTTTGTTCCACCTTTGTTGGAAAAAAAGTACCATTTGAAGTCCCAGGTGCAGGTTTCTCCTTTCAGTATGTTTTACACTAACAGGCCTCAGTAATTCTGGACTCTACGACAGTAAATTACTAAGGAAACTAAAACATTCACTTATAAGCAGGGTTTTTGGTTGTAGCTGTGTTGGTCTAAGGACACAGGCAGGCTAGATTCGTTGGGCAGATGTGATCTCTTTTATTAGACCAGCTGAGTAGTTGGAAAAAAGTTCTAAGCAAGTTTTCGGGTGCTGTCGCCCTTCGTCAGGCATAGGGAGTCTCTCAACCAGCAAAGACTCCCTGTACCCGAAGAAGGGTGACTGCGTCCAAAAGCTTGCTAAAAACTTCTTTCCAACTACTCAGTTGATCTAATAAAAGATAATCACAGCTGCCCAAAGAATCTTGCCTGCCAATTATAAGCAGGGCTGGCCAGGAAAAAAAAGGTTTACTTTAGGAAGGTTTTTTTGCTGATTTGTTAAGTTGTAATTTGGAACAAAGCCAAAACCTTTCAAAAAAATTGAGAAAGAAAAAGAACAAGCCCCAGAATAGCCTGTAGTCCACTGGGCTGGGATGTGGGACATCCATTTCAGTGCCCTGCTGCGAGGCAGGGTGAATGCCTACTCAACTGTTGGCTTTTACATGGTCTCCCCGCTTTTCAACCAAAAACTCCATTCTAAACATGGAGAACCGTCCTGGTGAACCGTGCACACGCGCACTTCCGCAAAAACGTTTAGTTTCGACAGCCCTTTCTGAGGAAAACCGTTTTCCCAGCACAGTTCACAGGGAGCTCAGAATTATGATACCCTTTAAAAATATCAGGTTTTCAGGCAGGGCATCAAAAACCCCACACAGCTTTCAGTACATCTCCACTGAAGTCTGAATCCATTTTGATCAACTCCTCAGCTATACACAGTGGATCATTCTTGTCCAATTTAGGCATAAAGTTCCTGCTTATTCCTTTTTGGGTCCTGGTGCTACACAATCCTAAGGCCACTTTGCTTAGTTTTGTACATAACTTTAACTAAAAATTACAAAGCATGGAGGGTCATTGGAGAAAGTGCCCTCCAGCCCCCTACCTAGCACAGGATGCTTGACTGCCTCCAAGCTTGGGCTAAACTTCCTTAGATCTCCAAGCAGCTTCAAATACCAGCTGGCTACCTGCTGCAGAAAACTGGCCGGTCAGTGCTGTACCCAGCCTTTTGTCTGCTAGATTTAAACAGCAGAAGGCAGAAGAGAATTCTTCACTCCCTGCACCTCCCAGCTTTGCAGATGACAAGCTACAGCTCCTACAGGGAGCTCCTGCTCTGCATCATGTGCGAGTTTGTTCGCGGACCTCCCTGCAGTTCTAGGGTTTGCAGCTGGTCTGGAGCCACATGTTCCTCTTTGGGCAGCACTGACCTTTCCAACTTCACCAGTTGTTGCAGGTGCAGGAAGTCCCAGAAAGGCAGCCAGGGAAGAGGTCACACCAAAGTGGACAGTCGCAGCACAAAGTGCACTGCTCACAGCTACACTGGTCCTTAGATACCATTGTAACAACCCAATAGCAGCCAGGAGAGCACACTGGGGAGTTCCTGGCACACCAAAGTGCAGGCAATGGTTCTTTACTGGTGAAAGCATTCTTAGGATGTAGGTTTGGGCTAAATCATTCCAGTCCAAGGCCAGCCTGCAGGAGAACAAAGGGGGTCTTGCACTCCAGCCCACAAAACACCCACGCACCCTGCCTTGAAACACCTCAGATGCCATTTTAATCTCCGTCTTACCTTTAGCTTGGCAGGGCTCCCGGGCCAGTGTTAACGTAGTCTGGCTCATCATGATCATCCTCCGCACTTTCTAAATGCAGGAATTGGAGAGAGGTAAATGGAAAGTATTGATTAATTAGCATGTTGAGCTGAATATACATCACCCACCCTAGCTTTAGGGTTGTTGGATGTAGCCATGTTGGTCTAAGGACATAGGCAGACAAGGTTCTCTGGGTAGATGTGATATCTTTTATTAGACCAGCTAAATAGTAGGGCTGTGCAAAACGGCACTGTTCTGTTTCTCCTCGAGTTTCGATGGAACAGTGTTTCGTATCGAATTTCATTTCAAGTCAAAACAGCTGTTCCGTTCCATCGAAACAGAAAGCCTGTTTCAACGCCGTTTCAAGTTTTGCTGGGGATGCGGAGTCAGCCCAGCTGGACTGACTTCCCATCCCCAGCCTACGGCTGAAACGTTTTGACTTTCGAAATGTTTCAGCCAGCCTTGTTTTGCTTTGAGGCTATTTCAACGGCCTTCGTTCTATTAAGATTTTGCTGTTTCTACCTCAAAATTGGTCGAAACAGTGTTGGAACAAAACAGCCGGCAAAATCTCGCACAGCCCTACTAAATAGCTGTGAAAAATGTTCTTTGCAAGCTTTTGGGCACAAATACCCTTCTTCAGGCATAGGAAACGTCTGTTGGTGTTTGTGTGCTTTCCCGGGCGCAACAGAAGTCAAAATGCAGGGCTGTGGAAAATGCAAATGCACAGCAGTAAGGTTCAAAGGGAATGGGAGACAGTACGTGTGAAAAGGTAGTTGGGGGGAGGGGGGAGAGTGGGAGAAGGTGATAAAATGTAGCTGGTAAAAGGCAGGCAGGTTACCTGGGGGTATCAGATGGTGGGCAAATTATAATGTACTATAAATCCAATGTCTATATTTAGTCCATGATTTTTTGTATCCAGTAGATTTATGAAATGAGGTTCGTAGGCTCCCACAATACGCCAACCTTTTTATGGCCCACCTGGAAGAAGAATTCCTCAAGAACTGCACCAAACCCATGCTATAACTAAGATATATAAACAACATCATCATCATTTGGACTGAAAGCCTGCAAATCGGACCAATTTTTATCCCAAATTCGATAACCATCACCCACCAATCAGACCCTCTCGAATACTCCAGGACCAACATTTCCTTTTTAGACACTGATCAATATCCAGAATGGTAAAATACAAACCATCATGTACAGGAAACCCATGAACCAACATACATATCTACACGGAACCAGCAATCACCCTGAACACACCAAGAAAGCTGTAACATACAGCCAAGCCATCTGATACCACTGAATTTACAGAGGAGAATACCTGTGATCGTCATCTTGCAAATCTCAGAATGGCTTTCACTCAACAAGGAGACAGGACAGACAGACTTTTGAAAGAGCCACCTGGATACCACGTGACGAACTGCTGCAGTACAAAAATAAAGTCCCCACAAATTGCAGATCATTAGTTAAGACCAGGGATCCTGGTTTTCTCTGATAGAAAACTGTGATTTTTGGGTTACTTTTTTAATGCAAAAATTGGGGATTTTTTAAAGTCAGAGAAAACCAGGATCCCTAGTTATGACATACCATACTTCCCTGGAATCTGTATGGAAATTTCTCGAACAATTGCAACCTGTACTAGAAGACCCAACTCTTAAAGAGATCTTTCTAGAACCAACCATCCTAGCTTCTAAACAAGCACCAAGGCTCACCAACCTCATCACCGGAAACAAATTTCCTATGGCCCAAAGCACACCAAATGTATTCAGATCATGCCGGGACAAAAAAAAGTGTAAAACCTGCCAACACATACCCACATCCCACAACAGAACCATCACTACTCCTGGATCTTACACCGGCATCTCCAGAAATATACTCTGTCTCATCCAGCCCACTTAAAGGTCTGCTGGAAAACATGTAGGAGAAACCAAACAACAACTGCACACCAGAATGAGCACACACTGGAAATCTATCAGACAAAAATACCCAATTACTTGTAGGTGCACACTTCTCACAAGAATACCACTCTCTCTCCAGTCTCTCAGTTCTAATCCTCAAAGGGAATCTACTAAACACCTTTCGTAGACAAGCCTACAAACTTCACTTCATAAATCTACTGGATACAAAAAATCATGGACTAAATATAGACATTGATTTATGGCACAATATAATCTGCCTGACATCTGATAACCCCAGGTACATTTTATCACATTTTGTCTGCATTTTAACAGCTACATTTTATCACCTTCTCCCACTTCCCCACCCCACAACTCCCTTTTCACACTGAGTATCTCCCATTCCCTTTGAACTGTACTGCTATGTACTTGCATTTTTCATGCATTGCTCCCTCACACCCCACAAATGCCACATACCCAAACCCTGTCCCTACAACCCCCACATATACAGAACCCCCCAACATACCCTATGTCCCCTGCTACACAGCCACACCACCTCAACCCCCCCACTCCCCACCATACACACCCCCCCAACACCCCACTATACACATGCACAATATACAAGACTAAGAATTTATTTCTGAGTTATTATCCAATCACCTCTATATACACCACGCAAACACAAGTCATGACAAAAAATTTTCTGTAATAAAATTAAAATGTTGTATTAGGTGTTTGACTTTTACTGCATTATCTGGGGGGGTTTTTGGTTCCAAGATGGCAACCCCACCTCCCCCCCAACTCCCTAAAACAGCATTTCTGGGGGGCAAGGGGAGGGACTTCCAGTGGCAAAGGTCAGGGGTGGGACTTCTAGTCCCAAGATGGCAACCAGGGTACAGGGCAACGGTCAAGGGGCAGGGCTACCCATGCAGCCCTTGAAAGCTCACCAAACAGCGTTAAGCAGGTGTCCACCCAAAATAATTGCCCGCCACTGGTAATAAAGGATATCATATCTACCCAAAGAATCTTGTCACACACCCTAATGAATCCTGCCAGCCTTTTTAACCTTTGATGCTGAACATGCAAGCTGTTAATACCAGCACTTGTGTGTTGGCCAGAAAACAGCATATTTCAGCTTCAAAGCTCTTGGGAAAGTCTTTGCATATAACAGAAGTTTAGATCTGTTCCATTTAGAATAGATTATAATACAACCAAAGAGACATTATACTCCATTGAATGAATACATCAGGCACAACGAATTGCAGGAATCAGTTATCACCACAGTCAACGTTAGAAGTTTCTAAACACACACATGCACTCAACGGGGCATCTCACACCCTAAGCTAGTCCACGCCCCCACCCCACAACACACAGACTTTACAGGAAGCCACATGTCAGATTAAAGCTCTGTTTTAAAGGTTAAGCCCAAGCAAGCCTTGTACACTGACAGTTACTGCTCGACCTGCAGGGAGTTTCACAGTTCAGCACCAGAATGTCAGAGAAAGCTATTGCTCATTAAACACTTCCTTGTCTTAGGACTCAGGAGCAAGGCAGCATGGAAATCCAAAACTGAAGATGAGAGGAAACATGAAAAGGAATAACCTTTATTATTTTGGTTATTCCTAACAGCACGGCAGTGCCCTTTCGAGAATCAGAAAAGCAGAGCCATATAAAGATTAGATGCTAGTCCACAGCTGTTGCAAGTTGAAATACAATTTTCAAATTGTTAAATGAGTGGGGACCATGACTGCATTGGATTGTGGAGCCCCTGGCACAACGCAGATCTCAAGCCTGACTAAAGCTACAGGGCACAAGCAGAATATTAAAAATGCCAAGTAATGCTTAACATGTACCTGACATCTCTGATTGTTTCCACATCTGTATAGCTGCACTATTCTCATAGTCATCTGCATCATCTGTAGGTAGAAAGAGTTTGAACAGAAAGTGATGGACTAAAAACCTTTCTGAAATGACACACCTCCTCCCCGACTGACAACGTAGCTATGTCTGAGGCTGAGTTCCCAGTCACGCGTGTGGGCTTGCCCTTCTCAATCTGAAAAAGCCCTGCTCTGTGCCTGGGGAGAGCCGTCTCATCCTTTTTTTCGGGCCTGCTCTCTTCCCTTCACCTCTTCTGGGGCTAGGAAAGGGGTTAGACTTGCTGGTTGATACCACTGCTTCCTAGCAGACATTATACCTGATGTAATCGTTCAGCATCAATGTGTGACTAGATCCAGAGGTAATCATCACTGACTCGAGAAAAAAAAAAGGATCATGGTTTAAAGTTAAACAACTTAACAACTCTGATGTGCATATCCTGGGAGAGCAGCTCATAACCACTCTGCAGAATTGCTGTTCCTTACCAAACCCCAAATTCAGCCCTGTACTCTGTGCAATGCCGTGCTGGTATCTACTGAGTCCCAGACAGGATCCAGGGGCTGCCCACAGGGATCTGAGTCTCCACAGTTAATTTGAGCCAGCTTCCCTTTAAGCAGTGAGACCTGGGGGGTCCTGCACCATGATTGGGCCTTCTAGGGTGCCTGTCGATGTGTGGGAAGTCTGCTCCAAGATGCTGTAATTAGTCTCAATTAATCCAGTCTGCTGGCGCATTCCAATTAACACACTCCAGCAGCCTCAGCGTCTCACGTACTCAGCATCCTCGCGCTTCACAATAGCAGCGGGGGCACTTTGATTAAAGCTTGTCTGATGAGCTTTAGCTAAAGTGCACCAACCACCATTTTGAAGCACGGGACTCTGAATCCATGTGACGTTGAAGGCGCTTTAATCAGAGTAGCTCCCAAAAGCCACCCTAATTAAAGTGCCTCTTACCCCAGGAGCACGTGTAAAGATGCCCCTAGATGCTACTGCACCGTGCACTATCGTTGCCAAAACCGTGGACACCTACCAGGCTCTGCATTCTGGGACACCACACCAACGATCACGTTTTGGTAGGCGTGCACATCTTGGTCTCTTTCTGTGAGGGAGAAGAGCAGCGAGTTGGCGAGAGTCTCTGCACACACAAGTTTTTACCTTTCAGTACCATGCCCCGGAAGAGAGGGTCTATTCACCACAGTAAAACAAATGCGGTCGTTAGAAGAACAAATGGAAAGGTCAGCAGAAAAGACTGTGCTAGAACCAGCGTCTGTGCTGAGTGTTTGCCTTAACAAGCTAAATAGGGGCAAATCCTGGATGGCTGCAGACAGGAGAAGTACTGCTGTTGGCTTCAAATGTTGGCAGCAGTAGGCTTTTACCCTGTTCCCGAGACAGAGATTGTCCTTGTGGCGGGGGTTGGAGGGGAGCAGAAAAATCAACAAGGGTTACCAGTCTTGCACCACAGTCTAAGCAACAAAAACTACCAGCCAGAGTGAATTCAGGCCATTTCTGGTAAACGGGAACCTCCGTGAATTAAATCAGAACCTGCGGACCAGAGGGGGAAAGAAATCCCCGGGCTCTTGTTCGGTCCCTT